AACTTCCAGTGAAGTTTTGGCCTATTTAGAGGTCGATTTGAAAATGTTTGGTGAAATACACTTTTGTATTCCTGGAAGTCTACTATCTACTGTAAAAATTTCAACTCAAACGGACATAAGGGTAAAAGTTATTGTCCAAATACTAAGCAGTGTCTAATATCCTTTCTACCCAAATTTTATCTAAAATGTGTTTGAACTCCGGACTACTCCCTAACTTCCAATCCATACCCTATTACCCCGCCTAACAATTTTATTTCTACTTTTACAATCTACGTAGTTCATGCATACATTAACTCATATATTAGCATTTCAAAAATAATTACATTGCTATATTAAGATAAGCATGTGAGGGTTTACACATAACATGCTCCAAATTCCACATTTCTCAAGAAATTACATTAAGTACATTCTACATACCCATTTTATGATAGGATTTATTCTACACATTTTCAATACCCATTTCACCAATCAACAATAATAGGCGAGTGTAAAAATACGTCTAACAACCTACCCATTCCATATTTCAAACCTAGGTTGGAAATAAACCTAAGTAGGAAGAAAACCCTACCTTTTGAAGTGTAAAATCAATGTAGAAAGCCTTAAAAAAAAGACCTTAGCCTTGATTTCTCCCAAATCTTGTTTTTGGATCTTCGGTAAAATCAATCATTTTTAGTGTGGTTGCGTAGCCCTCGATGAGAGGAACAACTTTCCTTCTTGGCCCGAGTTGATTCGAGCAACCAATCTTCGTAGATCGTAGAGAAAAGGTGGAGTTTCTCCCTTTTTCCCTCTCTTCCCCTCCAACGTGAACCAGCTGAGAATGTGTGGAAGAAATTTGATTTTCTTTCTCTTTTTATACTTCTCAATACTTAACCTACAACGCGTCACACAGCCCTTTTTTCTCAGGTCTATTTTCGCCCCGGTTCAAGTTCAAAATATTTTTATTTTAACTTGCCTTAAATAATTTTTTAACTTTTAAAATTTTATTAAAAATTTTGTTTGTGGGTCACTCGAGACTCGACTGTCTCGTAAAACGTAAAAAATTGACTATCTCAAAATTCGATGAAAATTGACAGTGTTGCTAGATTTCGCAAGACGAATCCAACGGTGAAGTTCATTTCGTCACTGAGCTCTATAAAAATTCAGATTTGCAACCTTTACTATGGTGACAAATTACCGTTTTGCCCCTTTTTGTAAAAGATTCAAATTTACCCAAGTTTTACAATCTATGTTCCATTCATAGAGTTTGTTAGATTAAACTGAGAATTGATTACTAATAGTCCTTTCTTCATATTGGAGATCATGAGGTGTTGGTCTACTATATCAATTTTTGGTAAGAGCAGTAGGATTAGTTTTAGTAAATGTTAACTTGATTGGATATAGACTAGAAAATTGTTGTTCTAATTCTCTGATATCAGAATCAGTAAAAATTTGTGATACACTGGTTTCAGAATTTTCAATATTCTAATGGAAAATAGAGACGTGAGGGTTACTGGTTCAATTTTTGGTTGTTCTAGGTTTTTTAGAATTTCTTCAACTTTTTGAAGTCTTTTATTTTCATTAACTGAGACACTAAGCTTATTTCTATCTTCTAGTAACTGAATTAGAGGCCTTTCTAGTTTTTTACTAACTGATGTATTTACATTATCAATTTTATTTTCTATTTTATCTAACTGTTTACCAATTGTTTTTTAGCATGGATTGGCAAAGTTATTTTACTCAATTATTCTTTTTTCAAGTTCAGCATCTAAGGATAACTTGAATGGTGAGGCTATGACTTTAGAACCCATATAGTTAAGTAATATGGTTTCTATGAGAGGATGGCTAGAACATACCTTTCCCTATACACATCTATGTATATAACAAACATAAACTTTAAAAAATTAATTCCACAAAATGGTTAGAGAGAGAAATGATTGATGGAGATGGAAAGAATAGGAAATTCGACCTTGAGAGAGATATTGATAGAGATGGAGTGCTGAGAGAGATCACGTAGGTTTACATCTGAGAGCTTCCTTCGCTAGCTTCCTTCTCTAGCTTGGTGAGAGAGAGAGAGACAAACGAGAGAGGCAAAAGGGGGTAAAAAAAAGTCTCTTTATACTTGGAACAAAAAAAAATTTTCTTTTGTGCTGCTAATGGGATTCGAAGGCGTGACCTCATTAATTAGGGCAAAGGAGCGCGTGTTTTCGTTTTTTCGTTTTTTTTTTTTTAAAACACCTAAATAAGTGTTTTCAAAAATAGAGGTTGTTTACACAACAGACTAACCAAAAAAAAAACACTCTCCAAACATATTTTTGTTTTTTTTGGGCAAAAATTGAAAACAATAACAAAAAAAATTAAAATAGTCTATTACCAAACGTAACCTAAATTAATTATAGAAGGGATGCTTCAAATGCTTTAGCTCCACTTCAAGTTCCAAGCTAAATTCAGCTCATCAGACAATGGAGATCCTTAACAATATGTTTTAAAATTGGTTGCTTCCAAATTAGTTAGGAATTAACTGTCCTAACCCAAGGTTTGAAATTGTATTGCAAATAGAAAGAAAAACAAAGCCCAATAACAATCACACATAAGAACAAGCGATTTTAAATGGGACAAATGATTAAAATAAAAAGAGGAATAATGAGGATGCTTCCGTTCGTGCTATTTTACAGAGTCAGGGCTACAATAAAATGTGAAATCGTTGTAAGATGGAAAATTTAGGGGTTGATCTATTTTTCGAGGCTTATTTAGGAATAAATCCACTCAAACTTTGTTGCCCATAGGCTAGGCCCAACCAGTCCAAAAAAATTGAGTTTCTAGCCTAGGACAGTCACCCCATGGGCTTAAGCCATAATTTTTAGTTCGAAAAAGTTCTAAGCTCAATCTAACTAGATATAATTTTTTATAGTGAAAAGTGTATATTATGACACTTTTCGTTGATGTTCTCACGCTTAGCAGTTTTAAAGTCTGAAGTAAACTCATTACAAAACTATGGTCGTGTGGTGTAGCGTTACTACTTTTGCCCCTTTTCATCAAGTAAACATCCCAGAACGCTTATTTAATGTGTTTAACACGTAAAGGAGTTTTGATTCGTCACCCCCTCTCTCTCTTATCCCTTCCTCACTCTTCCCCACTTACTACAACACACAGAGCAGCTCTCTCTTTGTCCCTACCTGGTTATTTGTGGGAAAACTTTTCCAACGCAAGAAAAATTATATCCTAAACATTTTTTAATTACCTCTTCTCGGCATTTTCTAGAATTCCATTGCTCACTAACCTTTTTACGGCAGGGGTAACTCCTTCACCCCGAATGAGAACTATGTTTTTCCAGTTGTAAAGTGTCATATGTAATGAACTGGGTAACCCAAGTTCAAGAATTCCTGCAAGCATTGTCTTAAATTAATAATCGAGAAGGAGAAAGAATCAACCTTTAACTTGGTTGCTTAACTTTATGTTTCTATGACCTTCTGATTATGGGTACGTAATTTGATCTTTGACTTATATATGCAAAGCTTGGAAGCAACAAACAGATATTCTTTCACTACTAGATCAACTTGTGTGTGTTTTTAGGATAAGGTTATCATGTCGTGTAACCTGTTGAATTTAGAGAATCTCTAACAAGGTCTTATATTTTAATTATTTAAAGTGCACTTTTTTTATTTTAATTATTTATTTTTTTAATACATATTTCAACAATTTTTTTATATTTTAATTATTATTTTTAAATATTATTTCTCATATATTGTATTTTTGTTGGAACTATTAAAAAGAGAGAGAGAATGATAAAAGAGTGGACGTAAAAAAAATGAGAAGAGGATAGAAAATATCTTATAAATTATTTGTACATAATGCAACAGTGATTCTCTAAATATAGAGTATCATTGTAACAAAAATATATTTTACCTATTTTAAACATCTTCTATTGGAATATATTTTTTTCTTTAAATATCTAAATTTTAGTTATTTTGAAGTTTAACCTATTCTATTGGAGATACTTTAAATAATTAGTTTTAATTTAGATTATTTTTATCTTTCAATTAAAAAATTAATAAAATAATAAAATTTTACAAATAATACATTTTTATTGAATGAAAAAAAAGTACATTTTAACAAAAAGCAAGATTTTGGTATCGTAAGTGGACCCGTGTTTTTAAGTCAAGCCAGTTTGTGCTCAATCTAAATGTCTGCAACACATTATCAAGCATGTACTGCATGTTACAGCTAATGAATGATTGAGACAGACGGTGACAGAGCTAAAGTGTGGTATGAACTGGCCATGGCCTCCCTCAAATTTTAAAAAACACCCTTTACTCCCTTTTAAGTTTTCAAAATTCTTATGTCACCTTTTAAATTTTCAAATATTTGAGTACACAAAATACTTCATTTACACTGTCAAAAAAACTGAATTCCATGACAGTTAACAACTAAATAGGTAATATTAATAATGGAAGAGTGTCACACACACTCTTACAAACAAATGCACTTACTTGGATGAATATGATTACAAATAGAATTTTTTTTTTCTTTATTGAGAAACATCGATCATCATATATTTATTAAATAATAACAGATACATCATTGTGAAAATGAGATAAAAGAAAATTCGGAACCTCTTCCCTCCGCTGAACAAAAGTATTACAATTGATAGCAAATTTAGCTAATCTATGAGCAACAATATTACCCTTCCTTCCTATTCAAGCTGTTGAGAAAGCTTGGAATTTTGTCTTCAACAAATGGATTTGATCAATAAAGTTACCCATTTCTGATAATGGCAGTTGCTCCTGAGAAAATAGCTTGGACGATGTAATCAGAATCTCCCTCCAATATGATGCGTGACAATCCCATATCAAAAGCCAACTGAACAGCAGCAAAAGCTTCAACATTTTCTGCACTTAAAATACCCTCTATCTTCTAACTTAATCCTGCCATAAACTTTCCATGACTGTCCCTAATAACAACTCCTAGTCCAGAACAGTTGACAGAACTAAAAACAGCCCCATCAAAATTAACCTTGCAAATACCTTCCTGAGACAATTTCCACATGGATCTCTCAGCAACCACACCTGGTACATGGAATCTTGCTCGCGTACAATTAACAGCATGAAAATGATGGATATACTCTCTTGAGAACAGCAATATTTCCTTTGGAGATCTGGAACAATGATCCACCCGAACTTTGTTTCGGTTAAACCACATAGCCCATGCAATGACAGCAATCAAAACAACCACATCAGATGGAACCTTCTCAGCAATATATATTAGCCATTCTTGAATATTCAGCATACCTTCTAGTGGAAAATGAACTGCAGCCTCAACCCACACAGCCTTCGCAAAAGTGTATGTCACAAACAAATGGAAAGATGTTTCGCGTGAATTTCCACAAAGAAAACATTTATTAGAAACCATCAATCTTCTCCTTTGCAAATTACACAGGGTGGGTAAAATATCGATAAATAATCTCCACATGAAATTTTTGACTTTGTTAGGAACTTGAAGTGACCAAACCAACGAGCCAGGCCAACGATCCAAAGAGTTACTTGAAGATGCCACATCGATATTGTGTCTGAAAAGGTTCCTCTCAATGGCCAAATGATATGCACTACGAACTGAAAAGTTTCCCGATTTATTAAAATGCCATATTAATCTATCCACCGGCAGTGATGGACAGGTCAGAATGGACATAATATCTTGAACTTCAAATCCAAGAACCACTGCTGAAGCAATTGTACATTCCAACTTCTAGAAACCTCATCAATAAAATAGCTAACCGGAGTATCATCTCTCAAATTTGGCAGTGAAGTAATTATTCTGAAAGTGTTGAGGTCGAGGAACCCACGGGTCAAATTTCACTTGTATACTTTTACCATTGCCTACTCTCCACCTTAGACCCGCTTCTACCAAGTGTCTAGAAGACAGGATACTACGCCAGGAATAAGATGGACTTGACCCAAAGTGGAAGTGGAAAGTACTTGGCTTTCAAAACTTTGAACAGTAAAGATTCAGAATTTTGAAGGAGCCGCCAATACTGCTTAACCAATAAAGCCAAATTAAATGCTTCAATATCACGAAAACCCATAACTCCTTTTGATTTGGGTAAACATAACTTATGTCAAGACAATCAATGAATCTTCTTAACTTCCGAAATTGTCATCGTTCCAAACAAAACTCCATTGGAAGCTTAAAACAAGACATAACATAAGTAGGTATAGCTTAAGTGACCGCCTTTATTAAAATGGTTAATTACAAGTTACACCTCGAAAGATAGTTGGAATCTCAATTTATATCCCCAAAGATCAAAAATTTCAATTTGTACCATCAAAGATAGAAATTTATATCAATATGCACTCCCAAAGATAAAAATCTCAATTTGCACCATCAAAAATAGAAATTTGTGTCAATATGCACCTAAAACTAAATTGATAAATTATACCTAAATTTCGTCATGCTTGTCACTTAATCATTTAGAATCTTTTACATTTAGAAAATCACTCCTACATCTTATAGCGTTTGTGCACGTGTAACACGTAATCTTTTTCATTAATATTTGTTAATATAACCGTTAAAAACTATAATTTTATCTTAATAAAAAGTTATAATTTCATATTACCCTTTATTTTGTGAGTTCGATATACTCTAAAATTCAAAATCAAACTTATTATTGGACATTATAATTTTTTATTAGGATAAAATCATATTTTTTAACCGTTATATTAACAGATATCAATGAAATGAGATTATGTGTTACACATGCACAAACGTCATGAGATGTAGAAGTAATATTTTAAATTTGAAGGGATTCAAATGATTAAGTGACAAACATAAGAGAATCTAAGTATAATTTATCAATTTAGTTTTAAGTGTACATTGATACAAATTTCTATCTTTGAGGTACAAATTAAAATTTTTATCTTTCGGGTGCACATTGATATAAATTTCTATCTTTGGGAGTACAAATTAAGATTTTTTATCTTTAGGGATACAATTTAAAATTTTAATTATCTTTCACGATACAACTTATAATTAACCCTTATTAAAACTTCCCTCCCAACCTGTGATAGGTGCTTTTCTTGCCGACCCTGAACTTTATCCCCTATTCTTTTCTTGGCCCTTCAAACATTTGTTGCTTTGTTCTACCTATGACCGATGGTAGACCCAAATATTTTTCATAACTTACCACCACCTTCAATGGCATCACATTCAAAACAGCAATTCTATCCGCAAGACTAGTATTATCTGTAAACACCACCTCCGATTTTGATAAATTGATGGTCTGTCCAGAAGCTTTCACATACACCTGCAAGCGTCGTCTAATACGCCGAACATTTGATCTGTTAGCTCTTGCATAAAATAAACTATCATCAATAAACAATAGATGTGTAAAGACTGGACCCCCACGGCCCGCTGCCAGACCCTAAATACCTCCAACATCTGCCTCTCTGTGAAGTAAAGCAGTCAGCCCTTCAGAACATAACAAAAAAAGATACGCGGATAATGGATCTCCTTGCCTTAAACCCCTCTTTGGTTGAAAGAATCCCATTTGCTTCCCATTCAGAATAACAGAATATGAAACTGTAGTGACACAAATCAAGATCAATTTAATCCATCTGGTGTCAAAACCCATCTTTTCCATAATAGCTTCTAAAAATCTCCACTCCACTCGATCATACGCCTTACTCATATCCAATTTCATAGACATATATCCATTATGACCAACTTTCTTTCTCTTCATATGATGATTCAACTCAAAAGCCACAAAAACATTATCCGTTATTAACCTTCCAGGAACGAAAGAACTTTGGAACTCTGAAATAATATGCGGGAGAAGACGCTTTAAACTATTAGCTAGAACTTTAGAGATTATCTTATAAACTACATTGCACAAGCTTATCGGTCGAAACTGAGACATCTCCTGCGGCTCAAGAATCTTAGGAATTAAAGCTATATGCGTGTAGTATATCTTATGACAGAACACATCATGGTTCAAGAAATTCAGCACCGTCTCAGTTACTTGATCACCAATGACATTCCAGAATTGCTGATAAAAGATTGGACCCATACCATCAGGGCCTGGTGCTTTAGATGGATGAAACTGTTTGATGGCTGCTTCCACTTCCAGCCTTGAAAAAGGTTGAATGAGATCCTGATTCATAGACTAAGAAATCCTTCGGGGTACTGCTTGTATCACCTCCAATAAATCTGCCTCCGTGGGAGAGGAAGAAGTGAACAAATCTTGAAAGTACTGAACGGAAATATCTTCCAACTGCTCTCTTCTTGTACACCAAAACCCATTTTTATCTCGTAAACCTTTAATTTCATTTCTTCGCCTTCTTAAACTTGCACGGACATGAAAATACTTGGTGTTTCTATCCCCTTCTTGCAGCCACAGTTCTTTCAATCTTTGTTTCCATTTAATTTCCTCCGCTTATAAAAGCATCTGACTGGTAGCATGAAGCTCCTTTAATTCCTCTCTGTCTTCCTCCGTTAGTGGTCCAGATTGTAAGTCCTGTATACGATGCTTAATATCATCCAATCTTTTTTGAATATTATCAAATCTTCCCCCGTTCCAACGGAGTAAACCTACTCGACAAGACTTCAATCTATCCAAAAACAAAATTCCATCAGATGATCTAGTGGGATTGTTCCAGCATCTTTCAATTATTTCCTTGCAAGAATTATCTAACAACCACATGGGCTCAAATCTAAACCTTTTATTCTTACCCCTTACCTGTTGGCCATCAATAGAATCTTGGACTCTCAACAGCAATTGACAGTGATCTGAGTCAGTGGTAGCAATATGAGTAACAGAGCTACCTAAATGACTACCAAACCAAGATGGAGAAACCCAAACTCTATCTAGCCTTTCCTTTACAGTAGCTGGGGCCAAAGAACCATTACACCAAGTATAAGGATTTCCTCTAAAAGCCAAATTCAACAAACCACATTCATTTATAACTCTCCTATAATCACTCATTTGCCAAAGGGCTCTATCATGTCCCCCCCTCCTTTTCAGTCACATCTCATATTTCATTAAAATCACCTCCACAAACCCAAGGCATATCAAACCTATTTCGTAATTTTGACAACAAATTTCATGAATGCTTTCGCTGACTAGTGCATGGATGCCCATAAAATCCAACAAATCTCCATTGTCCTAATTCCCCTTCATTTGTAATTGCTTCAATATGCAAATCAGAGAAACTCTTAACACTTACCGAAAAATCCCTCTTCCATAACAAAGCTAGACCCCCAGCACTTCCTTTTCCATCCACTATGAGACCTTGTGATAAACCAATTCGCCTCTGAATCCATTGAAATCCTCTGGAGTCAAGTTTGGTTTCCATTATAAAAACCCAACTGGGAGCTTCCCTCTTCACTAAATGATGAAGAGCCCGAACTGTCGGAAGGTTCCCAAGCCCTCGACAGTTCCAAATAACGCCCATCATGGTGTTCGGCGGTACTGAGTACCAGTCACCGCCAACAGAGAAATTAGAGATACAGCCACTGTAAGACCCTCACGGCTCTGCTCATGAACCTCAGTTTCCTTGAAACCCCTTGTCTTCTTCGAAGAATCCTCATCCCCTTTGCTCTCCACACTGCGCTTTTCTCCACAATTAACCTCCTGAATGGTCCAGTCCGGATCTCATGGAGGGGGTTTATAAGGCCCAGTTGATTTCCCTTTTTCCACTCGAGAGAATCGCTGACGGGAAACTGTAGAAGACTTACCATCGAAGGGCTGATTAGAGCAACGTTGAAGAATGGAAAAAGAATCGGTCGTGTTGTTATGGAAATCCATTTGTAGGGAAAAGGCCTTATGAGATGGACTGGTCTCTATTGTTACTCCCACATCATAAAGTACTTCATCAACAGTAGAGACTGAAATTGAACAATTTGGGCCATCGTTTTCAGGCTTAGTTTTAGTGGGCTGATTATGAAGTAAGGGCTTAGGAGAAAGAGATTTATTTTCCTGATCCATCGAAGCCAACACCGATCCAGTGGAAAGAATTTGATCCGACTCACAATCTGTTACCGTTTTGAATTGGCAAAATAGGCAATGAAACTGACACCACCTGAAAAGAAGGGGAAGTTACAGAGGGATCCAAAGATAACTGCTCCGTCTCCCTACGGACAGCAGTTGGTTCTTTAACCATTACCGCCGGTGAGAGCTCTCCTCAATCAGCGGAATATCACACTTAACCAGAAGAATAGACTTCATAACAGTAGCATTAAGCCAAGGACCAAATTCATAGCTAAATTCCAAACCTTGAACTTCCACATTCTTCCCA